ACACAGGTTAGGAATTTATGCTCCAAATCCATAAAATTTAAATGTGTTAGTTCAGAGTTAAAGTGCTTGCAAACCCAAAAACCTGTTTGCCTTAAACAATGGATCATCATAGCATTTTACATGATTTTTTTAATTCTGTGGTTGATAAGTATTTATAAATACCTGTTGATGCTGCCAGCATCTTCCTCTTACGTGCCATGGTAGCCAGCAGGGTCTGATAGATGTAGTATTGTTGTCATGCCTGCTCCCAAGTTCCTACTATAGGATGCCACGGTGACCCAAAGTGTTCCTGTAGTTAGCCTGTGACATCACAGGCAGCCATGACTCCTGTGGCCCATTTGAGGTCTCCTGGCCCATTTGGAGCTCTAAGCTGGAAAATGCTTTTTCACACACTTTTTTGATGAAGGAACTTGAAAGCACTTGTAAGCATCTCACTTGTTAGTTTCTGAGCTGAGTCTTTACATATGCTTTATTACACGTTTTACATCATTGTTTTCTCTTATTATATAAGCCTGAGTGATTATACATGGTATGTAACAGTGCTCCCAGAGGCAAAAGTGGCACAGACTGAGTATTATAACATACAACATTAATAACATATATTGACAGTACAGTGAAACTTCTGGATGACTTGCAATTGGTGTATTGGGAAATGTAGAATTCACATTGCTGTCTTCCTCACAGTATAAAGCTAGGACTTCAACTTCCAGATATTGGGAACTTACATTCTTCATGACTGCTAAAGAATATTTGTTTCTCAAGGAATGTTATCCATGAATGACATGTTTTGAAACAAATACAAGAGAAAGCAATGTAAAAAGATCTCCTCTGTTTCCAAAATGTTGTCAGTATGTTGCCCTTTTCCTTTATACGGTGTGAAAAAAATCCTGCTGTATGTGGTTTTAATCTCTCTTACTTATGAGCCGTGTCAAATGTAAAAATTTGTATCAGGATTCCCACATTGGACACAGATGCTTTGCAGAAATGTCTGCATGCCAACAACCATAGTAGCTTTTAGCTGCTTGAATTACATAGACTTTTCTGCAGCATCATATGTGGCATAATCGTTCAATACAATTTTTTTTTTTTTTAAGAGTTAAAGTTAGCAGATGCTATGAAGACTTCCCCTTGTATTACACGCCATGATTCTGTTCTGTCTGTAGCTAATGGGTTACTTGACCCACAACTGGTAGTTGTATTTTGGATAGATGCTAGTTGCATTAGTTTCATACTTTAGTAGCATAATATCTACACTTGAGTTCCTAGCTTTACCCATCTACCATGGTCATTCCAAGGTGACCTCACTCGCCCTATTGAACTTTCATTATATTTTAGATTACTGAAAATGCAGTGGATGCATTGCCTTGTGGGTTTTCCTATTGTGGAAGGGACAGGTTGTAAAAGGGAGCAGAACTAGAACCTTTGGCACAGAGATCATGTCATTGGAGGCCTAAGAAAGTTACAAGTCAATGGATTATTTAGCTCACTGATAGTGATGAATTAATTTTTTTGCCTGAACCAGGTTTTGACTTGAATGGGGCCAATTTGGGGTGAATGCGACTGGGTGAAATTATCTAGTCCCAAGTTGAACTGGTAATGGGGTAATAGACAAAATCCATTAAGGAAGTACTTACCATCGGTCGGTTACGTCACATGTCACTGGGTGAATTGATCCAGTCATATTTAGATTTTGTCTATTATCCCTTTACCAGTTTATCATGTGACTCGTGGACTGTAAAAATGGTAATAGACAAGATTTAATAAGGATGAATTGACCTGTGATTAGTAACATGACAGGTTATGGGTACTAAAATCTCTTAAATATCTTTTAACTTAACTTTAACTTACTAAAATTACTTCAAAAGGATACCTTTACTGGTTCTCTTTATATGTTCTGATGTATTGCAAAGAGTCATTCTTAGCTTCCACACTGCTTAGGAGTTTGTCACAACATGCAAATCTCTTTATCAGGGTGACCTCAGTGTAGGATGTTAATTATACTTTACCTCTGCACTCCCAATCTACTACCCTACAGTGGGCCTGGCACATAGCTGGGGAATATGGTGAGACTGGAAGGTCTTATGGACTAAGAGTTTAAAGATGGAAATCTTAAGAATTGAGAACAATTATTGCTGTCATAAGAGATCTGCATTTTTCAGAGTACAGTTTTAGTGGGTTTTTTTGCCCTAGTTTTCGATTCATACCACAGAAGGAAAACAAATTATTAATTGAATTAATAAGTTTATTTAATTAATGTGTAATTCATAAAGCATGATCTTGCACTGCAGTCAGCAGGCACAAAATGTTCAATTGTACAAATATAAGCCATTTTTGGAGATTTTCTTTGGTTATAAAGCAAACTTTACTGTCGGTCTTGGACATCCTGAATCTACTACAACGCAAAACATTTTGTGTCAGCTGATGGCAGCTGATGTCTATGGGGGATTTGTAAGATTATGGCAAAATAACAATTGTTGTTTGCCACAATAACCAGTCTAATTTTGGACTTTAAACTGTAACAATGTGAACTAAAGAAATTACAAACTTAGATTGCTTTTACCTTAAGGCTACACAGGCACTTTACTCCAAACGTAAATAAATAATCTGCGCTTCTGGAGAGAGGTAGTAAAGAAGGAAAATTAAGTGAATACTTAAATAATTAAAAATGGTAGTATAGAACAGGGCTCAAAATTTCCACTCGCCCCCTCGCAATTGGCGAGTGAAAATTGCGTGGGGGCGAGTGGAAATCCAGGGGGGGGGACTTCCGCCGCTTCGGCAGCGCCGATCGCTGTCTGTTTCCTCCACCCGCTTCTTGGAGCGGCACCGCAGCCTCCGACGGCCGGGCCGCTTCTCCCTCGGCCCTGGCCACGCCTCCTCGTACACCCGGCAGCTCGCTTTCAGGCCCCATTAGCGGCGCGCTGCCGGGTGTGCGAGGAGAAGAGCTGCCAGATTGGTCGGGAAAAGAGCTGACACGAAGTACAGTCTGTAACTGAGCTAGCTGGGGGGGTGGGGAGGGGTGATTGCAGAGAATGCATAAGGGGTCCACCTAATGTAAAGAGTACTTGTCACTTTTTATCAACCCCCTTGTGGTAGCAATAAAGTTAAGTGGAAAGATGGAAAAAGTGAAAATTAAATATATTTAAAACAAAACAAAAAAAGTTTGTCATGCATGCATGCATATGGAATTTTTAACGTTTAACTCGATTAACTTAAAGAACCATCTATGGAAAATATTGGGTATCATAGTTTGTCCCCATTTTGTGGCTGCATGCAATTTTAAGTCTTGGCATATTTGATATCTTATTTACTCAACTCAGTCTCATCTTTTATAATTTACAGAAAATGTGTAAATGTGTTTGTGTGGTCTAAAATGAATTTAATGTATTTATTACTGAAAATATAGATTTGATAAACAGTTGTGCTATTATTGTGACACAGTGGTTCTCAGAATTCTTTTTTAAATGTTTTGGGGTTTTAAGTGTGTGGTTATAAATGTGTGTGAAAAAAGGCTTTGGCAGCAAAAGGCCTAACAGTCACCATGTGTTCCTGTTAGAAATGACTAAGTACCACTCACATGTCTATGCCCACTTGCTGGCTCCTCATTGTAATCAGCTTCACCATTTTTCTTAGATGGCCATCAATATGCCCTATGGGAGGATCAGTGCTCATTAATATTGTTCTTTCTAAAGCAGTTTTATGCCCACCAAAGCAAACACATCTAGTCTCCTTATTTAACAAATGTATATCTAAAGCTAAAACGTTTTCTGTTATTTTGAAAAGGGTAGGGAACGGTTAAACCCTGTCAAGTGGTTTTTCGCCATCTCCAATTTAAGAGATTTCCATTCATTTAATGTCCTGTAAATACAACAGGATTTAAGAAGAAATCTCTCAAAAGTGATCTGAAATCCCCTCTTAGACAGTTGTCACCAAAACAAGTGTCTCCATTGGAAGAGTTGCCTAGTATCTATTCCTGTTCTGGTGACAACTCAGAATTTGCAGTTTCCTTCACGTTCAGTCACAGTGAGCATAGAGAGTGAATTTCACATGCACAGCAATTCAAACCTTACATGGGTTCTAACCTCTCACCATTCTATCCAAAAAAGTTTTGCTATTAGATACATTTTAATAGCCATAATTTAGAGCCTATAGCTGGTAACTGACACTAGGGTGAGGTTCTTCACTCACTATGCTACCCACACATTAAGAGGGTCAATCCACACCAATGTGTGAGCATTAAGGTGCACATAACACATACCCATTGGTGTGTGTTGTGCATGTGCATTGAGATGTGTCCCACAACGCAATGCAGGGCTTGCTTTTTTTTAAAAACTTTGTTAAACTTGACAGTCACTTTGACTATACATGGCAGCACATTGCAATGCATTATAGCATGCTGCACTTTTAAACAATACAACATGTCCGCCTTTTTTTCGGGACACACCAACACAGAGCAGTGGTGTGAATTGAACTAGCAGGACAAATTATCTTGTCTGTTAATTAGAACTTGTTGGCCAACTCTACCCAATGCAGCCCATTGGGACTGGTATGAACGTGTCTTGACTTCTTCTGTTACTAATAAGAGATGTCTGAGTGTGGCAGTTGTTTCACCACATTACTAAAAATATATGGCATGAGCACACTTTGGACTAAACCCGCTAATAATGTGAACTGCCTTGAAGGATCCTTCAGTTAAAAATGCTTTGTTCAATTAGGGTGTACAGAGAGCATACTCATAGCTGACGGCTAGCTTTTAGCTTTCATTAGTTTAAGATATCAGGTTTCAGGAAATATTTCTAATTAGTTGTAATGAGCTATGCAACTATGAGCATTGCAATCAACCATATTAAACTAGATCTTAAAGTCTTTATATTTGTTACTCAGTGAAGGTTTTTCTTTGCATCTGTAGCTTACTAAGTACCCATGATATGTTTTATATTGTTAAATGTTTGATACACATAAACTATAACTGAAAATAATCCTTGTTTTATGTTTTGTTCTAGTTATTTGAAATCACTGTCCCATTGTCTCAAGGACCAGTAAAACCAGTAACAATTAGTTTTGCAAACCATACATCTTGTCGATGCATGTCTAAGTTGGATGTTTACAGACAAGTCCATTCAATTATTAGACGATCATTGCCAGCAACACAAATACAGTAAGTGTGATGAGGCTTTTCATTTTATTATGTATGTGCCATTGAGAAAATAGATGTTATTTTCACAAATTACATCAAGGAAAATCTGAGAATGTGTAGGAAGGACCAGAATTACACTGTAGGTAATGACATCTGAGCCCAAAGTATACCAAGATTGTCTAAGTCCATTTACGCACATAGCATGTGGTACATTTGGTAAATTATAAGCTTTTATGCTTTTACGTAAAAAACTGCCAGATAGAATATATCTATGAATGCCAAGCAACTCCATGGATATAGTGTCTTACCTATGCCTTTTAATTCCCTATGCTGTAAGAGCTGTGATCACAATCCCAGACCAGTGCAAACATTGCACTGTTTCAATTAAGCCTACCTACATCTACATAATGATAGCAGACAAAAAATGAGTACAAAAAAAATCTGCTTGTGAGGGACTTATGGACATGTGTCTATGACAACATAGTAAAGGGGACAGTAGCTCAGAATCTATGGGTAGATTTTATTTTACTTGACCGCAGAACATTGAGGTGGAATATTCAGAGATTTGGGCAAAATGACAAGACTTCTTGCAGCTCTATAAATTATTATAAGTATATTATGTAGTTATAGTTTATAATTTCTTTCCACACCCCTTATTGTTGGACTCTACACTGGATCAGAGACTCTGAGCAAGGGCAAGAGCATTTCAAAACTCATATATGCCTAGTACAGAATCAACTCTAACTATGGCTCTGTATATATATATGACGCAGTAGATATTGAACTGTTAGAATTGTGATGTGGTGCTCTAGAGAATGAAACCACACACACAAACACAGACACTCCACTCCGCTGCCGTGCTACGCTAGCCTGCAGTGTTTACTCTGCAGCTTCCAGCCCAAATCCAATTAAGAAGGCTGTGAAGGGACCTTACAGCTGTGAAACAGTGAGGGGGGAATAGGGCAGGGAGTGCAGAGGTGATCTGCAGAAGCAGGGGTTTAGAGGTGAGCTATGGATGATGGGTATAGAAGTGGGCTGTGAAGAAGTGGTGCAAAGGTGAGCTGGGGACCAGGGTTATAGAGGTGATCTGTGGGTGGAGGGTACAGAGGTGAGCTGTGGAAGAGAGGTGCAAAGGTGAGCTGTGGATAGAGGGTACAGGGGTGGCATGGTAGTGTTAAATGGCTAGTTATTGCTAAAATTTTAATTTCCACATAACGACAGACCTTTTCCCAATAAGCTCCTTATCTTTGGATAGTTGTTGCTGCTGTAGCTGCACATTCCATAAATACTTTATGTCAGTAATTTGCCCTCCCCCCACCATCCTGTGATACTGTTGTGGATGTTGCATCACTGCTGCTGATATGCTACACTAGCCTGCAGTGTTTACTCTGAAGCTACCAGCCCTCCTACAGTTGGAGGTCAGCGTGGGTGCACTGTACCATCTGCACTACCAAAGGAGGAGGCCCCAATGGGTGGTAACAGCAGGAGGCAACTGAAGTGAGAGAAGGGTGGTATGGGGCAGGTAGTGCAGAGGTGATTTGTGGAAGAAGGGTGCAGAGGTGAGCTGAGGACAAGAGGTGCAGAGGTGAGCTGTGGACGGAGGTTACAGAGGTGAGCTGTGGAGGAGAGGTGCAGAGGGGAGCTGTGGAGGAGAGGTGCAGAGGGGAGCTGTGGACAAGAGGTGCTGTCAGGGTCCAGAACACCTCCGGGTGGCACTGGAGCAGATCCTGTAGTTAGAGTGCTCACCTGCAGGTGTCTCCAGGCAGCCGGTGGCTGTCAGGGACCTGAGCGCCTCCAGGTGGCACTGTGATGTTGGAACCAGGTCCTGCAGTTCCAGGGCTCACCTGCAGGTGTCAGCAATTAGTCACCACCTGGTGCTGATCAGGGAGGGTACTTAATCCCTCCCTGCAGTGAGGCTGGTGCCACAGTATTGTTGCCTCAACCTGTATCCTGGTTCCTGTATCCATTATCCTGTAGCCTCCTTGAACCCTGACTATTGACCTGTGGCTCCCCTCTTGTTGCCCTGCTTCACAGGTTCACTTGCCCTGTTACCTTTTGCATGTGATTTGCTGTTTACATTTTAGTTGGCTATTATTTGTTACTTGTGGGTGTTGGTGGGGTTGCTTGTGTTTACTTAATTTCAGTGTGTCTAATAAACTGCAAGTTCATAACCTCATGAGCATTGTCTGGTGTGGTCACGCATTTGGTCCTCCTGTATAGATACCTGCATGCGGTGTGGGGACACCCATGCATGGTATCGTGACAGGTGCAGAGGTGAGCTGTGGATGGAGAGTACAGAGGTGAGCTGTGGAGGAGAGGTGCAGAGGTGAGCTGTGGACGAGGTTGTATGGAGATGAGCTGTGGATGAGGGGTGCAGAGGTTAGCTGTGAATCAGGGGTAGAGAGGTGAGCTGTGGATGAGGGGTGCAGAGGTGAGCTGTGGAGAAGAGGTACAGAGGTAAGCTATGGACCAGGTATATAGAGGTGAGCTGCGCACAAGGGATGCAGAAATAACTGTGGACAAGGGGTCCTTCTAAAATAGGACTTGGCCAAACAGTACCTCTGCATTATGCTGTATGTAGGATGGCATGGTAGTGTTACATGGCTAGTTATTGCAAAATGTTTGTTTCCACATTAGGACACACCTGTTCCCCAAAGTGTTTTAACTTTGGATGGAATTGCTGCGTTTTCTTACTTTACTCTTCCATTAGCTGATGTGACAAGCTGCTATATTTGATTTTCTAAATGAGAAAAAATATAGGAAACTATTGGTCATATATTGTCTATATAGTGCCAATATGGTGTTACATTTCATTGAAAAAAACAGGTACATACTGTACATACAGTGGACCTGTACAGCTCTACTACACAAGTGTTAAAAAGCATTTGTACAAGACAAGACAGGACTAGTTCACTGTATCTAAACTGACTATTGTGTGGCGCCCATATTTATCAGCACAGCATATAGTTGTATAGTTGTTATCCTGCATCGGATCAGATACCCCAAAATAGAAGAGGAAACCAGAAGGGAGAAATAAGCAAGTTTGGCTGTGGGTTGAGTTTTATTTACCACTGCAGTCAAGTTTGTGGCTTAACCCTAGTTAAATTATATGGACAGCCTGCATAGAAGCTATGGAGTAAACCTTAAAGTGAACTCTTGGCAGTGATAAAAAAATGAAAATTGACTGCCCAGATGAGGAAAAATATATTGCTAATTTTTCAAGGGGGTGATCTACTACAAAGTAATAATTACTTTAATCCACGCCCCTGCAACAGATGACGTCCATGGATTAAAGTAAGTATTACTTTCAGCACTGGGATGTGGAGAGGAATTACTACATCCTGACTTACAATGCATTATCAGCAGCCACGTTATCAGGATGGCACACGATTACTAGTCCTGTATAGCACTTGATAATAGTGAGAGGGGCAGTGACAAGAACAGTCGAAGACCAAGAAGTGTGCATTTGGGGAAATAGTAGTCATAACCAGCACCAGTAAGGAGGAGGACTGTGGATTAAAGTGACACTAAACTGAGGAGTTAAGTCTTAAAAATGCACTTAAGCATTACCTATTAACAAAAATGTATCTTATTTGTGTATCACTCAGCTGTAGATCCTCAAATCATCTCTGAATTCATTCTGACATAAGGACACAAGGACCATGGGGAACAAAAGTAGTCACCCTCTCCAGAAGGAAGGGCAGTGTCAGCACCAATTCAGAGATGATTTGAGGATCTACAGCCGAGTGATACACAAATAGGATGCATTTTTGTTAATAGGTAAGGTACTTGAATGCATATTAAGATGTATCTCCTGTCACTTTAAGAGTAGCATGGAAGAGATGGATTTTTTGTCCAAAAAGAGCTGCACTCAATGCTTCTTCCAAATCCAAATTTGATTTCAGTCCATGGAACAGCATACACCTTCTCATATGATTAAGCCCTGTATGTAAAACATGTAAGGAGAGAGTTTCTTTCATTCTGGGGAACTTTGGAAGGTGTATGTTGTTCCATGAATTGAAATCAAATTTTGAATTTTTTGGAGGAAGCATTGAGTGCAGCTCTTTTTGGACAAAAACAAAGATTCATACATGTCGGATCGAGCATTTTGCCAGCACCTGGAGTTTCCTCTTAATATGAACTGACTGCGGAATCTTAGTGGTGAGTGTTGTGGACTATGGAAGAGATGGATATTTTACCGTTGAATATGCAGAAATTACTTGCTGCATTTGGCAGCAATGGTCTGATATTTTCAAACCCCCAGGGCAACATACCTTGCATTATGTTAGCATGTTCCAAAATATGTATGTGTGTGT